TATTCTGTTAGCCTCTTTCTCATCCCCACCCACATTTTATCTCATTCCTTGGGACTCTTTGTATGGGTAAGTCAGTAGTTCCCAAACTTCTAGTCGCGGCGCCCTTATTCAATTAAAATTTTTCCATGGCACCCTACCCTAAGTATGCCTATTCGTAAGTAAGAGATAAAAATAAATAAAATTCGTGTATCTTCATTATTTTATAACTTTATTAACATTAAATTAATATTTAATAACTAATAAGATGGATGAGCCTGCAAATCACTGCACATTTTCTTAAATTGAAGCTTCTACAATATTTCGCGGCTTCCCTGTAAAGAGGCCGCGGCTCCCCGGGGCGCCACGGCGCACAGTTTGGGAATTACTGGCTTAAGTCATAATCGCTTTTATGAAAATGCACCGTTTCCATTTTTCCCCTCCTTAGTAGCTAAACGCACTCACATTTAATCCCAGGGCATTCGGATGTTACTAATGTATATATTCGTTGGTATCCTCCTTCGTCAAGTATGTCACCAGTCATTTCCCCTTAATGCACAGATACGAGAAATTCACACTAACGCACATGCAGACACTGGTGTCCTTTATCTGGCCTTGGATATGAAGTATATGCGAATAAAAGTTGGATTTCGAGGAATCTTCTGTTTCATAATTGTTACTTTACTTCCATTTCGAGTGAAAGTGTTTGGTGAAGAGATTCAAAGGTCGATTCCACCAAGCGACGGCGGATTCCTCCTGACCAGCTGTCGATTGGCTTTACTGGAAGATTTATGGTGACGCTGCTTCCGAGGTAATCTATTTAGGTAAAAAGTTGCTAGGCTTTCGTCCATCATATGACGAACATTATCAGAGAAAGATATCATTGTTACAACCAACTTTGGGCTAAGGAGTCAAGAGTTTTCTTTAATGTTCCAGTAAAGCCAATATACAGCTGGTCAAGAGCAATCTGCCATTGTCTACTCGGGAAATCGACCTTCGAATAGCTTCACAAAACACTCACTCGAAATTGAAGTAAGTTCAAACTAGATATGAAGACCGAGAAGGTGTGGCCTTTGTTTGATCGCAGTTATCTGGCCTATCTTTACCTTTAGCAGTTAATTTCCAATCCCACTAGGGGGACCCTTCGCTGGGTACATTTTTAGCCAATTATAGGTTTAACTTCTCTCGGCAATCGCCTTGACTTCCCTTTGTCCCTCATGGACCGCTCTTTGGCGAAGCCTCTTCCTGTCATTGAACAGTTGTTTTGGGTCCAAGCGTCTTTTTTTTATGTCTTTACTAAATATCCTAGTCTGCATAGGCATTTCGTCCAATTTTCACAGACTATTTCATTTTATAATCAGCAAAAGGATCAAAGAACATCTGCGTCTATGCTTAAAATGGATACGGAAAGATCGGAGATAGCTGAACACATCCCCTTTATCGTCATTACATTTGATTGGAGTGCAACGGAAATACTGGCCTCATGTAGGGAGAACACCAGAAAACGGAATTTCAGGAAGGCTGTGTACATCCCCTTTCATATAAACCTGATGAAGAGGAGATTCGAAAATGGAAGTCAGCAATACTTTCACCTACTGCCGGACACAGGACCCCAATGAATGAGATGCGATGTGGGTGGGGATGAGAAAGATGATAATTGAGTCATGGGTTTGAGAGCTAGGGTGAGGAAGATTTCCAGGCATTGGCATAAACATGGGCACCATCTGCTGTAAATCCTGGAATATGGCATACTTGGGGATAGGAATTGAATGCTCTTGGGCTCTTAGATTTGAGACAGACAGTCAGTTGCGAAAACAAGGTCAAACAACTTGTATAATAAAGTTTTGCTTACATCACTTAATCTGCAACCATATTTTACATTTTTGTGCCATAATTGTTGGTTTTGTTTAAATTTTCCAGCTTGCTTCAGCAACACCTTAGCAACGCAACTGTTGTCAACCCTTCAGCACTCGCCTCTGATGCTCATAAAGTCTGTGAAAAGGTCTTTTTGCAGCTAACTGATGATTTGACCTGCACTGAGATAGCTCGTTTGACGCCAGGATATGAAGTGGGTGATCTCATTCGACTCTTGGAGCACCTTCGTGCGGCTGCTTTATCACGCCAAGACAAGGAAGAATTGAATAACATTGCATTAGGACTCACTGTTGAAGCTACCTCGAGCAGGGAATTCAGTGTAAGGGTATTGCAGATTTAATATTTATCTTATCTTTTTAAGTTGATTTACATGAATGTGGGTTGTTTAGCAACCTTTTAGGATTATTTGAATAAACCGCCTTCCGCAATTCCCTTAATCTCGGCGACCATTCGTCATGGCATTGATTTCCTAATTTACCCATAAAGTATTTGCTCCTACAGCATCAAGTTGTACTTAGATATATATCACTCCTCCCACTTTTCTTGATTAATGCAAGAAATGTATAGCC